CTCCTGCCCGATTGTAGGAAAATATTTGAGGAACGACTGTTGGCTCTTGGTTAAAGCTTAGCTATGGTTTGTAGTTATGGAAACTAACTTTTAGAATGTGGGTATAACATCATCTTCTGTTGCCTGGCTCTGAGTGTAATTGAAGTTTCAATCTTGTATAGGAGAATGATTTGCAGGCTTTTCCCCAAACTCATCAGAGTTGGGGGAGGCTAGCAGAATGTTTCTGGGCTGGATATGTCCCAAGTTTAGGTTAGGATGTCAAAATAAACGGATTGTTTTTGAAAAGTGTATACTCTTGCACACGTAGTTTGTAAGGGTTGTGGGACATGACCTGTGTCATTCCTTTGTTTTGTAGAGGTGAGTATATTTGCTGGCACTTGATCCTACTCTTTCCCCTTATATCTTGAGACAGCGACCGCTTGTTGCCCTCCTTTCTCTTGCCTAAACTCAAGGCAAAACATGTTCTATAACAGTTAGCCTTAAGCCTCATCTACTCTGGACAATTATGACATGTTATTGTTGGCTGAGTGTCTACACACACTTGCTACCGTTTTAAAGGCATACTTTATACCATGTTAGCCTTGCCCTGATGAAGTCTAAATAACACTTGTTCTTAGCCCATGCTTGCTTTTAAAGTTGTGGTGCTAATGCTAGCAACACTAGCAAATTAGCTTGCATGCTACAATTAGGCCTCCTGCCACTGTTCCACTGAGGCCATATGCAGTTGAAGTGGTTAACATGCTGCTGGCTGTGTGGATAAGTGTTGGCAAAATAGGATTTATGTGTTCTGAGAGTTCTGGGCCACTACTACTGTACATATGGTATAGTTTTCTACTGGAGACAGGACCTTAGCCTGGACAGCTTTTAAACTCCATTTAAACATGGTTTGTACTGTGGGACCAGACAGTTTGGATTTGAGCGAGTGGATGGATACAGCATTAGCAGTACTGATGGCTGATATGCTGTTGATGGATGGAGGCAGACTGCCATCCTCCTTTTGCAGCATTTGATCTTGCTGAGCATGAGAAACTGAGGTGGATGACAACAGTCCTGGGCAACGTGGTAGAATGGTTTGAGTCCTTTCTGAAAGCATTGGCTCAAAGCCCTAGAGATGGAAAAGCTGCTCCTTTGCCACCAAATGCCTTACTTTGAGTATCCTCCAAGGATCAATGCTTTGTACACTTCTGCTCAATGTGTACATGGACTGTATTGCCAACAATATGCAGATGAACACAGCTCTACCTTCTCTCTGCAATGTACAATAATGCCACTTTCAGCAAGTTAGTGATTGGATGAGACCAGCTCATGGCTGAACAAAAGCTGGTTGATGCTGAATCCAGGCAAGACACGTGATGCTGATGTCAGAGGAAAGCACTGAGTTTGCAGCCACTGTCCAGTCTCCTTTGGTTAATGATACATATCCACAGTTGATCAAGTCAGTTTGCAGTTTAGGAGTGCTCCTGGATTCCTTGCTGATGCTAAGCTCTTCCTGAGAATGAGTTGCTTGCTACCATGCCCAGCTGTTTAAATGTCTCTATCTTCTTCTGGTGGTGGATTACCTGCCCTCAATAATATATGCATTAGTCACCTCCCAGCTGGGCTACAGCAATACAAACTATGTGGCCATGAAGCAATCAGCCTGCAGGAAACTCCAGCTATTACAAAATACAGCAGTGCAGCTACTGTGAGCATATCAAACTTGCCCTCAGCTCTCTACACTGGCTCCCCAAGGAATATTGTGTCAGTCATAATTCCAGGACAAGAACTGTGTTCGACATCTTTGCTCCTCAGTCACAATGTAAGTGTCTCTAGAGAGGGTAAAGGTTATCTGTGCAGGAAGTAGTGTTTTCATTGGGGCCAGCCAAAGATTGCTGAATGAACTCCCACTGGACCTACCCTACCATAAACCTCACCACCTTCCATTCTAAGGCCAAGGCAGATTTTTCCTTGCCTTCACTAATACAAAAGAAAAAGTCTAACTTAAAAAAATATATGCTCAGAGTATTTTCTTTGCTGAGACAGAATAAGTCACATGGCTTATTTTACTTATCATAATATACATCGAAGGTGCTCAGATACTTGATGATGAGGGTGGCATAAACTTGAACGGGATAGAACAGTATTCAAATCTAAAATGAGTTTAACTGATTCAGCCAGTGTTGACTGGGCCCTCTCTAGTTGGACAGTACTGGATGTACTTGGTGTTCATAGCTACAATTATCTGACAGAGTAATATCAAGAATGGGATCCAATTTTAGTTTGGTTCTTTGCTTTTAAAACCCCATGGGATTGATGCTCTTCCAAACTTCAGCCTAGGTGTATAAGAGCTTGGGCAAGAGCGGTCAGTGCTTTTACCATAAACCTAGGTAGGCTTGGCAGGAATCAATTTTTAAAATAATTTCAACAGATGTTTAAGAATTTTTTTCCTATTTTTATCTATTTAAATTTTCAGTTGAAGGAAATTGAATGACAGTAGACATTGAGATTCAAAAAGTTAAAGCTTTATAACTGTTAAAACACAGATTGTGAACATCACATGTCAAAACATACAAATTAAATATCCTTAAATCAAACTAAGTTCTCAAGCAGCATTTTTCTTACTTTGCCTGTCTGTAAATTTCTATTATCAATGGAAATATTTTTTCATCTGTGTGTAGGGTGAAATTGTTTGACACTTACCGATGAAAAAAGTCTAATCCTTCCAAGCTTAAGCATAGTATATCTTGTATACCGCAAAAGGTTTTCTACTTTTCAATGTATTTTTTAAAGGTCAAATTAATTTGAAAGACTGTGTAGGCTGTTCTTAAAATTGCTTCCAGGGAAAGTTATTACTGATCTTATACCTATTCTATCCCCATCATTCCTTGATTATAACAGAGTCCAGATGGCCAAACAGGTTCAGATAAGGTAAAGAGTGATCCAGATCTTTTCCCGTTCCTCTTAACAAACCTTTCTCAAATGTTTGTAAGTGTGGGTGATCTTTAAATTCACCTGCCTCTGCACTTCCGGGTTGCTGCAGAAACAGAATGTGTGATTACCACAAGAAAGGCTATCTTGAGTGTTTTTGGCCCAGCTGGAACCAGAAAGCTCTAGAAATCTCAAACAGTCTGTTCTCATAAGATTTCCCAATCACTTGGTTTTTGGTGGGGTTTTTGTTTTTGCTGTCTTTCTGCAGAATGCTCTCTCACTGAATAGCACCAGAGGCTAATAGAAAGGGCTACACAGTTTCCTCTGGAAAAAGGACATTTTTAAAACAGCTGAGCACATATTAAACATGCAACAACCCTCACAAAACATAATGGGGTAGGGACTGCTTTAAGCTTTTAGCAGTCAAAGCTGGCTTCTTAACAAGAAACCCAGTTGACAAGGGGAAATGGTACCCTCAAATGTCCATTATTTGTTTTGTTTTCTGATGATTCAGTTAGCGAGTCTGTGCTTGTTTACACGGGATAGTATTTCTCACACCAGTCTCACATATGCAGGGTTTGTGCTACATAATTTGGGAGAGGTCAGTAAAGTGTATACAATACAGGGTCAAGGTACACATCAGACTGTTGGACAACACTTGCAAAATAACACCTGACCACACCGGCTAAAGAAGGGCAGAAACAAAGTCCCTCATCTCCCACAGGAGCAGGCAGAATTAGAGGGGATACTGCCTACCTACCAGATGCTACAATTGAACCAGCATCTGATTTCACACAGCAGGTGCAAACTGCAGCAAGAGGAACATGTGATTATAAGAACGGCCATACTGGCTCAGACCAATGGTCCATCTAGCCCAGTATCCTGTCTGACAGTGGCCAATGCCAGATGCTTCTGAGGGAATAACAGAACAGGTAATCATCAAGTGATCCATTCCGAGTTTCTGGCAAACAGAGGCTAGGGACACCATCACTACCCATCCTGGCTAATAACCATTGATGGACCTATCCTCCATGAATTTATCTAGTTATTTTTTGAACCTTGTTACAGTCTTAGCCTTCACAACATCAGGCAAAGAGTGCCACAGGTTGACTGAGTGTTGTGTGAAGAAATATTTGTTTGTTTTAAACCTGCTGCCTATTAATGTCATTTAGTCACCCTTAGTTCTTGTTATGAGAAGGAGTAAACAACACTTCTTACGGTGCACATTGGCACCAAAACACAGGAGAAACATTCGGCGAGCCGCGTGCCGAATCCTGTGTAACACAATAGTATCAAACAGGTGCTTATTTCCTGAAGATATTTAAACAGCTGCTTCATTTTATGTGTGCACCCAACTCTACAACAAAGCTGTGCGCTCTGTCAGTTTCAGCACAGCGCTAGAGACAAAATGTAAACTGAAGGCCTGAGCCTCTACCTACTGTGTAAGAAAAGAGTGCTCTGTTCAGAAATAGGGTATGTGATGCTGTTAGAGAGACGGTAGTATTGAACTCCTTTTTCAAGCTGACCCAGGTGAGTGCATTATGTATGTTGAAAAAGAGAGGATTGGATTCCAGTTTACTTCAACATGAGACAGTGAAAAGTGAGGAGAAAAGGCCTATGTGCACTTATGGTAATTGGAAGGGGTTTATGTAACACCAGGGGTCGGCAACGTTCGGCACGCGGCTCGCCAGGGTAAGCACCCTGGCGGGCCGGGCCAGTTTTATTTACCTGCTGACGCGGCAGGTTCGGCCGATCGCGGCCCCTACTGGCCGCGGTTCGCCGTCCAGGGCCAATGGGGGCGGCGAGAAGCGGCGCAGGCGAGCTATGTGCTGGCCGCGGCTTCTCGCCTGCCGCGTCAGCAGGTAAATAAAACTGGCCCGGCCCGCCAGGGTGCTTACCCTGGCGAGCCGCGTGCCGAATCCTGTGTAACACAATAGTATCAAACAGGTGCTTATTTCCTGAAGATATTTAAACAGCTGCTTCATTTTATGTGTGCACCCAACTCTACAACAAAGCTGTGCGCTCTGTCAGTTAAATTCCAATTACTCCCAACTTACACTGAAGAATTTAAAAATACCCGTCCTCTAAAGAAGTTACTTGATAATATATTTATTAGTATAAGAGCTTAAACTGCTAACCATCTGAAAGAATAAGTAATTAAAAGGATTTTCATACATTTTAGACACTATACACACAGTTGTCATAAGTCATCTTTAGTTGGGTTAAAAGGAAGCAAGTCTGATGCACTTTTAGCTCTTGAGTCTATAGGACATTCAAAAAAAAGCTACTTTTTAAAAAATACCAATTAAAGGAGACATACTACTAAACAATCCCAAGTATGACAGTACATTTAAAAATAAATATAGAAATATAAACAGAAGTCTAAAAGTAGTCATGATGCCTTGTGTTTCATGGCAATACAGGACTCTTCCCAGTTAAACGGGCAAGAGTTCTCTACACAAAAGCAAGATCAGAACCATTATGACTAACTTTGAGATGCACATTTTGATAACAGCGAAAGCATGCTTGACAAATATTGTTTAGGAGGATCTCTAACAACCTTGTATGGGAGACTAGATAAGCATGATTGAAGTACAGTACCACCAACTTACAAGGAATCCTGATAGAGCTCAAACAATCTGGGACTAAGTACCCAAAGTGAGATTTCCATTACAAAAAATATCCAAGTTCACTTAATCAGCAAGCACTATAATTTCAACATCTCAAACATTTTGGTCAGTAAAAGTAATCCAATACACCACCAATTAATTTAGGACAAAAATTTAAAACAAACAAGATTTGGCACATGCTAGAACAGACTTCCTTCCTTAAGAGGTGAAATACATATTTGAACAGATACAAGCTTGAGAAATGAGACCAAAATAGCCTTGTTTTAACAGATGTACAATACAAGATTTGCTGTCAATATTCAGATTCCAGCAGCATGCGTGGGTGTACTAGGCTGGTTGAGGCCTATAGTCGAACAAAGCCATCCTGCAAAATCCACTTCCTCAGCTTCAGATCTCTTAATGAAAACATGAATCTATAATAAAGAGACAGAAGGAAAGAGAATGAGCTAAAGAACAAGATAATGGGACACAGATTAAAACAACTAAACATGTTAAAAATAATTAACATGGAAATAAAACTTTTAAAGTCTAATTTACTTTCACCATTCATGTTGTTTGTCCTTTTATTTTGCATTGTACTCAACATGATCTGATTAGAACAGATTAGTTCATTTCATTTTTCAGGTCTTCTACACTAATATAATGAAGCAATATGTGTTGCAAAACATTCTTGAGGAACTCCAACTGTCATGCGACACATATATATAGTGTTTGGTTACAAAGACAATCACCTTAGTATGCAGTACATTTGAGTCACAATTATCCAAGATAGGTAAAGTCATACAATGCACTAAGTATTATGCCTTAATACATAGTGCTACATTTCTGTTATATTAAGTGGTGGAAATTATCTGGTTACTTCTTCACATCCATGATTTACGATTGGGAGAGAGGCAGTCTTAATTCATCTTCCCTTTCTGCTGCAGACTGAGGCCCTGATCTTGCAAGTTACTTTGCATAAAGTGAATGGAGTCTGCCCAAGCAGAGTAACTTGCAGGATTAGGGACCATGTGCTGCAAATTCGCTACATCCTTTGATGTTAGCTCTTCTAAAAATACTCTGACAGTAAAAAAAAGGGAAGCTGTATGTTCCCCCAAAACAGTCCAAGATGTTCCAGCAGATAATGACCAGCCACAATAAAGGAACATGCACTTACTGTCTCTTCCTCTGAAGATAACCAATATATTTTATTAATTTAATTACTAAATTAAAGCAAAGACCATTCTGTTTGCAGCTCATTTAAATAGTGAAAGGGAAGTTTAAGAGGTAAATAATCTGTCCTCATTGTAATTAACAAATATCAGAAAGATGTTTCTATTACGATACTAGTTTTAAAAAAATGACACAACCTATCATCACCCAAATTAAGGACCTAAAACAGCTCACTGGATCCTCAGTCCTGCTAAGGTCGCAGTGACCCACTAGAATAGTGCAGTGACCTTAAAGCTGCCTTTATAGGGTAAGCTGAGGATTCTTGCAGTGTGGGAGAATCCTGAAATAGCCACCTTTTGTGTCAACTCTTCCTGGCCGAGGAGGTGGGGGGGCTGTTCTTGGGGCAGGAAGGAATAGCGCTGGAGCCGGATGCCATCCACCAATCCCAGGCTGGCAGAATTTTCCCTAGGAGACTGTTCAAACTAACTTGTGCTAGGAGCCAGTTTGGTGCCCTGCTGGCCACAGGGTCGCAACAAGTGAAGAGATGGCTTACACCAATCTTTGCCTTCCTCTTTGCTTAGGTGAGCTGAGAATTCTACCTGGGCTCTTCTGAAGGACCAAACCGCATAGAGCTACAGTACTGGGTTATCTAATACGGACCAGAATCTCTTAATAACTGAGCAAAGAGCTTTGACTCACCATGAGTTGCTTCAAATCTGCTCTCTCGGCTGGATTTTTTATTAAGCTAAGAAAACATAAAATGTTAATAGAAAATGTCAAAAGTATTGAGTAATTGTCTCTTGTCAAGGACACGCTTTACCAGCAGGTTGTGCTGAAAATTTTTTCAGTGTCCTAGCTAAGTTTTTCTTATTGCACCTCTAAGCATTATAGTGCATTACTATATACATTTAAGGGTCTAAGCAATTACCTTTTTTTAGGTGTTCATAAAGGGGTAGTAAAATTCACTCTAGGCTGTAACTTCGTATATGAAATTATCCTGGTTGTTGTGCTGTATGTGTGTTCTTGTGGGGGCAGGAATACATGACAGGAACCCAGCTGGAAAGGATTCCTGTGATTTCTGTGTTAAACTGAATTTTCAGTCTGCAAAATATGGATGTTGCCAGGCCTGAAAATCCCTTCCCGCAACATCATCCTTCTGACTGAGAAGGAGCAAGGGGGGGGGACCCCTTTTGAGCCTCCCAGCTGGAAGGGGCTGGTGGGACTGTGTGTTTTGTAAATGTCCCCTGTTCCCCTCGGGAGCTGAAAATGCTGCAGCTCCAGTCAGTCAAGACACCTCAGCCCCAAGAAATAAGATTTTGGGTTTGTTAAATATGTTAAAAATTAAACGTAATTTTTCAGGTGTAAAATTTCCATAGGAAATGAATCCATACAGAAAACACCCAGTTCACTACAAGTTTGATCATTGGAGTGCCCACAGGGGACACAAGTTTTGCATAACTGGGGAAAGTTCTAGTGTAAATAATCACCGTGGGGAGACAGGACCAAGTACTAAAAGTGTGGATGATTTAGTACCTGATTCTGCACCCCTACCTGCTGGGTATAGCGCTTCCTAACCTGCAAGCCTTCAATAGGATTACTTATGGCTGTAAGCACTACACCCAGCAGTAACAGTTTACAGGATCAGGCCCCAAGTTTGTACTGTATTCCCTTTTGCAGTTGACATTACATAAAGACCACCGAGTCCTGACTACGTGAAAACATTTGTTCACAGCTCCACAAAGTAGCAGCATTCACATTTGAAGAAAGAACTAATCTCTTAGCTTTGAGATCCTTTTAAAGCAAATACATTTTTCTGACTAAAAGCAAAACTGATGTCCCACATATGGTCCCCTGGAAGCTTAATCACCTCATAAAACACTCACCATTTGTTCACAAAATCTTGAAATTCAGGACTGAAAACACCACTGGGCAATTTTGGAGGAGGCTGGAAATGAAATCAATGGTAGATTAAAGCAAAAGGAATGAGTGATGCTCTTACATCTCAAGGAGTTGATTATTTTTGTGTTATAAGTCTGTATATAGCTTGTTGGGCCCAGTGGTGTAACAGCAACACTATCTGTGCTGTCCTTCATGGCTGAGGCGTTGGAGCAAGGACAAGATGACTCTGGCTTTCAGACCAGTGGAGATTAGATACGCTGACACGTGATTTCAGAGAGGAAACCTGCTATCCTACTGCACTTTACAATCAAACACTGGCCAATTTTTGGAATGTCATTAGCAATGGCTGAACTATAGGTGCCCCGGGGACAGCTGGCCTAAGGGGAAATGTTACCATATTGCGTATTATACAAACTGGGACACTCTCCATTTGAACGTTTAGAGACGTTTTCCCCACCTCCTGTGAGAGCCCAGGCGAAGAGGAAAAGAGCTTCTCCACTTTGTGACCCAGTACAGTGGAGTCATTGTGCTCCGTGAATCCATGAACTCTGAGGGCTAGTGTTGCTTCATGCACTAGTCTCTGCAAAGGAGGTGGGGCCAAAGCTCCGCCCCAAGTCCACAATGGCCATCAGAACTGGCTGGCTGCAGAAGGGAATGCAAGTTGCACCTGCTTACACTGGATTCTTCCCTCACATTTCCTGCCACAGCTGGTACAGCTCCGCCGATGGCAGCCAAATAAGGAGCGCTCAGGTAGACAAGATGCTGCCGTTTTAAGTTCTGTGTTTTCTAACCCTGCCTAGGATGAGTCCATGTGACACATATAACCAGAGGCTTCCTGAGTCTCTCGCTAGGGTGGGGCTACTCCCGGCTGTGCCTAATGATAGGCAGTGATTAATGCCATAGTCCAATATTAACTTATTGAGCGTCTTTATTAAAAGAAGAAAGCACTCCCACCTGCATTACTAAACAGAAGGAAGAGTCTGTTTTTAAAAAGTTACAAATGAACACTGTAATGTCGCCATGTTAGCCATATGCTCCTCACCGCAGTTCCCTTCTCTGGAAATTTTACCTGCCGATGACGGACCCAGATGCTGGTAAGCACCATGCACAGCTCACATTAATTTGTCTATGGATAGCTGCCAACAATGAGGGCTTCAAGCAGGCTTACAGCAAGTATGTACGGTCTAATTCAATTTGTATCTATTGCCATCCTCCATTAGGGGTGGGGGGAGAGGCCATTTACATATCTTTATTTGCATAACATTTCTAGCCTAATTTAAATATCCTGCCACAGGGAATTAGTACAGTCAGGTTCTGAATTAAAAATCTTTAGCTAAAATCCAAGCATTTTGGTAAGATAAGAGTTATTTTATGTAAAGGTGGGTAGACACTGCCTTCTCCTCCATGTTGTTAACTACTGGATTAGAGTTAAATCTACACACTTACACATGTGAGTAACTGTGCATAAGAGTAGGCCCATTGAGTTCAATAGGGCTACTCCTGTGCATTAAGTTACTCACTAGTGTAAGTGTTTGCACAGTCAGGGCCTTAATGTATTAAGTAAGGCAAAACCAGCTGTATTTCAAGAATGAAAACATATACTTAGTGTTTCCATGGCAATGCATGTGCACTCATATTTACTATGGAATGAGAAGTGTTTGCAGGGGTCATGGACTTGGCAGCAAGTCAGATTTTGAAACTTTTTTATATATATAGCTAATGGATTACAAACATGAAACATCAGTAAACGCTTATAAAAGACAGAAGGCATTTTATATGTGAGGAGGATGAAAATGCAAGTGTGCGCGCACACACACGTTCATTTGTATCCATAATAATGCCACTCTCTAGCCCCGTGTCTGAAGACTCAATGCAGCTAGGAAGAAGAGCTGAAGCGAAATATCAGCCTTGATGTTTTAACATCCTCATTTTCAGTCCAAAGCGCAAGATTCTGCAATGACACCCAGTGTTAAGGCTGCTCGACTGACCCCAGGAGAGGTATTGTAAAGCTCTCTGAAATAAGAGCATGAGAGGAGTTCTGTCTTTTAGAAACAGATGCGGTAGCACAGTGGTTCTCAAACTTTTGTACTGGTGACCCCTTTCACGCAGCAAGCATCTGAGTGCAACCCCCCTTATAAATTAAAAACACATTTTTATATGTTTAACACCATTATAAATGCTGGAGGCAAAGCGGGGTTTGGGGTGGAGGCTGACAGCTCGCGACCCCCCGTGTAATAACCTCGTGACCTCCGGAGGGGTCCCGACCCCCCAGTTTGAGAACCCCTGCAGTAGCATAACAGTAACCCAGGTAAAATCTAGTACTCAAGGAGAACCAAACATCAATGCTGACTGGTAATTATGAGTGTCCTAGAAATGCCTATACATGAATCACCAGTAATCATATTTAATTTCTTTGACTTTGGTAGTTAGTAGTTTGTTGATCCCTTGGTACTGGGATTTCTCTTGTTCTTTATGGCAGGTCAGCCCTTGCCAGCACATAGAAGATGATGCAATAAAGACGCAAGCACTGGAATTATGAGAGTTTAGCTGTAGTTGGGGAATTCAGAGACAACAATTATAGCGGTAAAACAAAGACAGGGATAGTTATGCAGGCACTTGATATTACTCTTTGCCATCCTCTCTCCTAACCACATGTGTCATTGGAAAGCCACAGACCTATTTAAAGCCTGATCTTCGGTTGCAATAGATTATGCCAAATTTATCCCAGGTGTAACTTCTAGAGCCCTGCAAATCCATGGATATCAGCTTTATATCCGTGGATATCCGCAGACCATTTTTGCAGATTGTGGATCAGATGCGGATACAAATTTTGTATCCGCGCAGGGCTCTAATAACTTCATTCAAGCCAGTGCATTTGCACCAGGGATGAGTTTGGTCCACTGTGTTTTTAAAGAGAACTAAGAGGCTTGGTTTACAATATACACTTAAAAAAAATATGGACCCCAAAATCTTGAATTAACAGTTTAAAAGGGAGTTCTGATAGATGTAAACAGCTGTTTACCTCATTGACGATGTAGTCCAGAAGTTCAAAGATTGCCATTGGAGGCCTGCTGTCTGGTCCATAAGCTACAAATGGATGATATATATTGAAAAATAAACCAGACTGTTTGAAAAATAAGGTAGAAATACATTCAGTCTGACAATACTACGGTTTTGCTCTTTCAAACACACTGTCCCATTGGAGAAGGGTACAGGCACAGGTCTGTTTGACAAAGGCAGCAAAGTTCTAATCGCTTCTTTCTGGGATCTCCATGAAGCTGGAAGGAGACAGCATGAATCTGGCTTTCCCTCTTCTCCTCCTCCCCCCACCCCCCCTTTGGGCTATGTATTCTTCCCATCAAACCCATCCAGCTTTCACATGCTACACTGCATCAGTCACTTACAGCTCATTGGTCGGCCAGGTGTTCTTTGCCTGGGTGAAGTCTCAGAAACTGGAGAGTCTCCCTCCACAGGGCAGCCAAACATCAGCTCCAGCTCCTTGGAATCAGGAGGGGGAATTGGGTATCTGCCAATGGCCATTTCTACCAGTGACAATCCCATACTCCAGATGTCTGACTGCACTGAATAATGAGTACCTTGGAGTCGTTCCGGCTACGAAAAGAAAAGCCAAAACATTGTAAGTAGTAAGAAAATCACACAGTGCAATAACCTGGAAAGAGTGATGGATAAAATAAACACTTGAGCATATGAATATGACTTTTTAAAAAATCATTATGGCAGTCAAGGAGTCCATAACTGACTTTTTAAAAGTGTCTGGAATCTGAACTCTCATCAGTCCCATAAACCTCAGGTACTTTGGATCTTTAACAATTAAAGACCATCATTACAATTTCATCACAATTTAAAAATAAACATTGAATTGAATCACTAACTGTCAGTAGCACAACTCAGATACCCAATTCAGTTAAATTTATAGAAATTTACCTTTAAAACATTTTGTTAATGGTGATTTACTACTTTTTGCAAAAGAAAATACTAGTGTTTGAGCTAGTATCTTAGTATTGCAATAGAATTCATTGCTAGAACTCACATGTAAATTGAAAAAATAAGAAAATCAAAGTTATTTTGGGGCAATCAAGGATTCACCCCTTTCCTCAAGAAAGAAAGAGGGGAAAACGTTAAAGATTTTCTAAATGTCACAAGGCAAGCTGGCCTTTTAAGGAGGTTCAAGGTCCAGCCTCTACCTACATCAGATTTCTGTCCGGAAGACAGGCAATCTGAGACGGACAGCTCTCCAAGCCTGAAGAAGAGCTCTGTGTAAGCTCAAAAGCTTGTCTCTATCACCAACAGAAATTGGTCCAATAAAAGATATTACCTCCCCTGCCTTAGCTCTCCAGGGCCACACGGAAACTGTAGACTGTGCAGTAGTGCATTTTGCAAAAGCCTTAAATTCCACTTGGCTTTCCATTGCACTGTTGCATAGCCCACAGTTCCCATACCCAGTCCCAGAATGCCTCTGCTCTGGGCAGAAACTAGGCACAGAACAGAAGCTGGACCCTGAACCCCTTAAAAGGCCAACTTTCCTGTGACACAATGAAACTGGGGCTTGAACACATTGGTGCGTATCTATTTACTGTATTTCAAAGGAGTAATTTGCCAACTGTGGGCTGTATAGCATGACTCAGGAGAGGTGAAATATGTACCACAGCTCCTGTAGTTAATGGAATAGGCAAACAGTTAGCATTTGGTCATGAATATTAAAATATTATTTAAAAATATTTGTTCTTATACAATTTCAATGACTCAACTAAGTTTTTTTAAATAAAAGGAAAAACTTATCACTGTGAAGAATGTACTTATTATGCAACAATAAACTCCAATTTCAGATGTTTCTTTTTCAAAATACTTAATTTACTTCTGAAGAAAACAGATTTAAATTATTTGAAAGGTTTTTCAAAAATGAGAGTCTGTCCTATTCCAACATATGTTCGGCTTGTAAAATGTAATGTGTAGGTTTCCTGGAGTTCTTTATTGACAAGTGTGAAAACAATGTAGGAAAATATTTCAAATAGTTTCCATGTGGGATGGGCACATTCAAAACCATTCAGATGTTGAAATGTAATGTTATTGGGATTGTGTTCTGCCTAGGAAAGCTTAGAGCACAGAAGGGACAAAGAGAAAAAAAATCTCATGTAAAGATTAAAAAATGCAATATACATGGTATACACACTCATGCCAACCTACCCTTTCAGCAAGTGGGAAGTATGTAGGTAGGAGCCTCTCTAACAGATGGCACGTCTTCAACTAAAAATATGGTTTTGTTTTTTAAAATTGAATCACACATTGGGGAAATGAAACATGTATTTCAGGTACAGTCACACTAACTAGTCCAGCCATTCCAACAAAAATCACTTGAAAAGGTTCTCAAGATGTCCATGAGAACAGTGTATAAAGTGAAAAACACAGACTGAAATATACAGTCAGTTACTGCACTTGCTTTATTAGTATTGTGTGGCCAAAAAAAAAAAAAAAAAAACCACAGTGGTAAAGACTGAAAACACTCTCCCTCTTGTAGTTTTAGTATATAAAATTAGTCCACGTGGTTCCCATATACGTTTTTCTTTGAGAAGGCTCAATACAAAACTTCATCTTGCCCTTTTCCCCCCTCTTTATTGAGCCTCAAGTTCTCCAGAAGAGCAAAGACTCGAATGAACACATTCAGGCACTCATACCTTGAAAACTGAGTTAACAGTCTCATATTCCTATAGGATGTCAGAGTGGTCTATAGCCATTAAACCCTTTAACCAATGACAACTTTGAACCACTATGACAAGTGTAATTGGTATTTTATTAACCACATACTATTTCTGCTTAGACCTTCTCCAGTGTCCCACCTGAGCTGGAGCCAAAGCCCTTTTAGAATAACTATCCAAAGGGGGATACATTCTAGAGTTTGCTAGAGTATTAGATGAAAAACAAAAGTGAATGAATGAGACGTAGCAGGCAGCAGCCATGAAAATGACCTTTAGGGCACTAAGTGCATCAGAACGGTGTGTAGTGGACAGGAGATAGAAAATAGCTCCAAGTTAATCTCACTGTATTGAGACATCAAAATCAGGTGTTGCCTGCAAAATGATCATGGTCCAGCAAAGCCTTTTCGCCCGTAGTTTGAAAAACAGTGCCAAGAGAGACACTGTGCAATATCAGTAATTGCCTGCAAAAGAATGAACTACTACAGAGAACAAGCAGATTCACCACCATGATTTGATCTTTGAAATACAATGCCGCGGGACCAAGCTAGACCTTCAACCTGTGGAAGTGACATGTCAGTGGAAACTGAAGCTATGCGACACTTTTGTTCCTCAAGTGTTCCTGATCTGAAGAAAAATAAAAACAAAAAACACCAGCGCCCAGGGCAAAAAGTGAGGAGCTGTGACAATTTTTTGCTGTTTAACAGCACCCACAAATCTCAAGTTTGCAACATAAATTGCTGGTTCACTTCTAATCGGACACCCACCTCAGATGACAAATGGAGAAGATAGCATCCTGAAAAGCAGGATCCATTCTGAGTAGAATGAGCAGTATACCTTTCCCCCCCCCTCTTTGTTTTTAGGTCCAGCCTCAATTTCATAGCTACTGAAGAAACTCTGAAAGCCCTAGCTTTATGAGTTAATAGAATCTGCATTAAACTGACAAATACCATCATACATTAGAGTGAAAGAGATCCACAATTCATGTTCGTGCTGGTTGCCGCATGATACACAGTGCTTCTTTAAATAGCACATTATTCCTGAATACTAGTTTTCAGAAGAGAACACCCACTAAGGTAGTCCCACACTAGCCACTAAGCCAGGGGTGGGCAAACTTTTTGGGCCGAGGGCCACATCTGGGTGGGGAAATTGTATGCAGGGCCGGGGTAGGGGGTTAGGGTGCGGGAGGGAGTGCGGTATGCAGGAAGGGGTTAAGGGCAAGGGATTACGGCAGAGGAGGGGTGCGGAGTGCATGAGGGGGCTCAGGGCAGGGGGTTGGGATGCGGAGTGCTGCAGGCGGCTTAGGGCAGGGGGTTGGGGTGCAGGAGGGGTGCGGAGTGTGGCACAGGGCTCAGGGCAGGGAGTTGGGGTGCAGGATTGCGAGGTGCAGGCAGGGGGTTTAGGGCAGGGAGTTGGGGGGTGGGGTACAGGAGGGGTTCGGGCTCCAGCCTGGCACCGCTTACCTCAAGCGGCTCCAGGGTGGCGGCAGCAGCGCGCACTGGGGCCAGGGCAGGCTCCCTGCATGCCTTCCCTGGCCCCACACCGCGCTGCTCCCAGAAGCGCTGTGGCCCCTGGGGGAGGGGGGCAGAGGGCTCTGCGTGCACTGCCCTTGCCACGCCTCTAGGTACCTCCTCCGAGGCTCCCATTGGCCGCGGTTCCCCATTCCCGGCTAACGTGAGCTGCGGAGGGCAGTGCCTGGAGGCAAGGGCAACTCATGGAGCCCTCTGCCCCCCTGCCCGGGGGCCACAGGGACGTGGTGCCGGCGGCGCTGCGGGCCGGATCCGGCTCACAGGCTGTAGTTTGCCCACCCCTGCACTAAGCCTTGTCTACATGAACCTTTTCCCCCTGTTACTATAACTCACCCTATGATAGCAATGGTAGAAGCACTTGTGTAGACAGCATCTTGCCTAGCCTCGCAATTGTAGCAACTGTGAGAAATTTTGGGGGGTGGGATAGGGAAAAAGACTTGTGTAAGGAGAACAAACTCTACACGCTTTTATTGCAGATGCATGTACACAAAACTCCAAAGCATTAGCTGATTGGATTTTGCAATGCAGGTGCATCAGCATCTCTTTTGCAATGTTAGAAGACTCCAAGTCATAAGTCACGCATTGCAACAAATCCATTTTTGAACTTTGATGTGATACTTGAATACTTCAGTGAGGCAATGAGTAATAATTGTAAATAACTGTAGTAACGGCAGTAGTGATTTCACCAAAAACTATACCACGATGCATAGTAAACTCAAAGCTAAAAGAGCTGTACTTACTGACATGTAGGACCGTGTCCCAACAAACGAGTTTGCCATTGAATCTATCAGTTGTCCACTGACACCAAAATCACAAAGCTTGATTTCACCTCTAGAGTTTACCAAAATGTTAGATGGTTTAACATCTGGAAAAAAAAAATGAATGGATGAGATAGATATATAAAATGGGAATATTTGACAATGAAAGTAACATGAAAGGTGGGAGTAACCATGTGCCTCCCTTTGTTCTCCTTTTAACTTCCAACCTGATTCCCTTCCTCTCCCGGGAAGGTACAAAAGGTTTGTGTTTAAGTTTAAATCTCATTCAGAATTTCCTGTTTTTCCAATGTATGTTTTGTAGTGTCTACAACATTCTTGTAAGGACTTTCACATTCGGGTCTCAGACATGCTAACGTACTTTCAAACTTAACTCCTGTTTGAGATGGCTTTTTTTTGTGCCAAGCTATATTCAATAAAAAATCATTAATAATCTATACATTTTAGTTTACTGGGTCATTAAATGAAATGCAACCATGTGTCCTATCATCCCAAACTGATAAAAATATTTGAGTGTGTGTAAAAAAGCAATTTCTTATCTTTAGCAAATAAACTCAGACAAAGTAAATGGGCTATTTTAAACTGAGAACAATTCTGATACTGAAACACTGCATTAAATTAAATGTTTGTTTAGTTTGAGATCAAGTTTACCTGAGATGGAAGAAAACTGGTTGAGATTTTACATTCAGCACTACTTCTCTAAATGGAAACCTAATGCAGGTCTTTGGTAACTAGGCAACTAATAACCAACTACTTATGCATGCTAAAGTGCTGGGAGCATTTCTTTTAATCTTTTTGTTGTAGGTATAAGAAATTTCTCAATATAATTGACTACTTACCCAGAGTCATTACCAATGAATTACAGGGCTTATGAAACAGGCAGCCACATTTGCAAAGAATGCCACCAATGAGTTTAAAAAAATATAAAAAAAGATTATTAGAAATTGGTTTGGACTGAGGGAGGAACTGAACTTTCAAAATTCCTGTTTGTGCATCTGTGACCCCAGAGCACACTGACTGCAACTCCTTGTTACACCTAAGAGACTAACCAATTTATTTGAGCATAAGCTTTCATGCCCACTTCTTCAGATGCCACAAGTACTCCTGTTCTTTTTGCGGATACAGACTAACACGGCTGCTACTCTGAAACTCCTTGTTAGTTACCATAGTCTCCTCACTCAAATCTAAGCACTACTCAAGAGGTAGGTGGGGAAAGATTTGTGCTGACAAATTCTTTTCTATACATTGCATTTTAACTGGATACAAAATACTCTGTGCCATTAGCAAGCAGACAGTACTTAGATAGCAGGTGATGAGGCCTTGGAAATACCTAAAATGGATAGATTAGAGACAGCCTAAAATAGCTTTCAGGAAGTTGGATGTTTCACAGCAAGCTGGGTAAACGCAGTATGCCCAGCATGCTTGAAGCAGAATCTTTTCTGTTTTACACACTGCTGCTGCTGCACGTTTTAGCAGCTCCCACCCCAAGCACATTTTCTTCTATATTTTCGTTCAGAATTTATATAAACCATACTCCAGGCAGCTTGCAACACATCCCCGAAGGAGTCAGTGTGCAGTTCGTGTCCGTAGCAGGGTAATTTTGGAAAGCTGATGCTAACACAGCAGCCCAAAACAGGGAGGGCTCTGTGTAAAAGGTTACACTTGATTTGAAGAGAGACGTACAGACCAGGAAACAGAGGTGGAGGGTATATTTTTAGAAGTAATTGATTTTTTTTTTACTTCTAAAAGAAACAGACCAGAAATGTTATTTGCCTTTCAAAATTCTTGCTGCTGTTTCTGGTTCCAAGCATCTCCGCTTTAGAAGAGGTCACCTGAAGATGCCCAGGCACACTGAAGTGCTTTTTCAATGCCTTGCAGAGCTCCTTGAGCTCAGTTACAGTAGCATCAATCCAGCGTAACTGCACAGAACTCAGCACTAGCTTTAAGTCACAGCAAATCCACACACTGACCTAACATGGGGCCACATGTGGCATGGCCCCAAGATCTCAAGATGGAGGGGACGCTGCACACATGACTCTCTCCCCTCGTGCTGAGAAGAGGAGCTCAGCTGCCTTCACAGTTCAGTCTCCCTCCCCGCTACATAGGGCCCCAAAAAGATATCCACAGGGATGCATCCCATTCCTAGCCCCATGGAGATCGCCTAGGAAAGATAATACACCTACTGCTTTGCCATGGAGCCTTTTTTGCAACACAGATTTCCCCTTTATGGGAGGGAAGAGCTCCTGGGGGAGTCCTTGGTAGCACGACTCCCCTGGAGCTTGCTGCCAGGCGGCATGTGCAGAGTGCATCAATGCAGGCAGAGATCCTGGGAGACCTTCATGGGCTCAGGGCCAGACTTGCAGCAAATTCCAGGCAGGGGTAAACCCCACCTCCACAACAGAACAACCGAGGGGATTCTACACAACGGAGATTTCCTCCCCCTTAGCTAGGTCACTGCCCACTGACTGTAGGAGGGATCCAGCCCATGGTCTCTCTCTGCAGTAAGTCTTTAAGCTTGAAATTCCACTCATTAGCAGGGTTACCATATGTCCGGACATCGCCTCTTTTTTTGATCCTCCGCCCTCCGTCCGGGCGGATTTTTCGAATAAGAGGCAATGTCTGAGATTTTCGCAGAACAGAGATATTGCAGCTGAGAAAGAGCAATCTCTGCGCCCCGACTGGTCCCTCCCCTGCAGCCACAGCTGCTGGATCCGGCCCACCCGAGCCCAGGCTCCCAGCGCTGGGGAGGAGGAGAGCCCCACAGGGAAGTGCTGACTGACGGCTGTTGCTGCATCCCAAGTCGGCGCCAGCCGTCTTACCACCGTGACAGGGAGCAACACTGCCCCCCACCTCAAGGGTGAGGCCCCAAGTACCCCTCAGCACCCTGAGGTACCCCTCTCCAGTACACACACACCTCCAGCACTCCCCAACTGTACCCTCCCCCCATCCAGCAGTGTCCTCTTTTTGGGAACCTGAAGCAGGATAACCCTAGTCGTAAGAAAGCAGCAGCCACAGACCAGCGCTTTGGGGCCAGCAGTGAGAGGTTATAAAAACTCCTGGCTACCCAAGGATTTTCAGACAAGGCTTGTTAGCCTTGTTTTGGGACAGGTGAGGGTGCGAATGTTCATACGCCACAGCAGCCCCTGGAATAATGCTGAATGCCGTATTTATATTAGCTATATTTATGCAGGTACCCACCAGTGCGGTATGTAATGCAGGCACAGGCGACATTTTTAAAAAACCTATCGTCATCTCATTTGACAGCTCTTGCTGAGCAGCACAAACATTCCATCTTCATCTTTTCACGGCAAAAGAAACAATTAAAATGTCAGCGTTCCGTTGTCAGTGAACTTCTCACAGTGCTTCCGGTGCTGGGGACTACCTGGAATACAGCTGGCTTCTGAAGGCTTAAATTTGCATGTGTTTTTCTACTGACAGCTCTGATAATCACATAGTGTAGCTCTTACAACAGCCCAGCAAACCCTGGACTTTGAAATAAAGCCTGCCATGCTTTGAGCATATTCAGTGTCTCCTTAAAGCTTCTGATTCGGACGAGAACATGATGTTTGGAACTCCACTGCCCACTCCCCACCCGCAACCTCTGTAAACAGGTCACTCTTAAGCGGCTTCTCTGCAGCCAGTATTTTCCCAACGCAACTTATATTGCCCAAATGGAACGAGCATGTCAAAACACCCTTCACAATGGAAGCATTTGGCTGTGACGCTGAGGGAAAGGACAATCCCCTGGAGATCAGTCCCGGGCTCTGTGCTATCACACAGAAGAGCTGGCCGGCGTGTGCTGCAGGAGCCATGTACTCAACCCTTGGAGAAGGTGAAAGGGCATGTCGCATGTCACTTAACATCAATTCCTCCAGACAACTGAGGAACGGAGCTGAGCATTCCCAGCTAGTCCTCTCAAGACAGAAAGATGGATATACAACACTGAAGAGACGAGGGTGCTAAATAGAGCGATTCATAAGCAAGGCCATAAGACGCCACTGTGGTCATCGAGTCTGACTTCCTGTATAACACAGGCCATAGAACTTCCCTGAGTTAATTCAAGTTTGAGCTAGAGCAGATCTTTTAAAAATATATCCATCCAATCTTGACTTCAGTGTTGAATAATCCACCACAACCATTGGTACATTGTTCTAACACAGGGATCGGCAACCTTTGGCACGCGGCTCACCAGGGTAAGCACCCTGGCAGGCCAGGCCAGTTTATTTATTTATTCGGCCAATCGCGGCCCCGACTGGCCGCGGTTCGCCATCCCGGGCCAATGGGGGCGGCGGGAAGCGGCGCGGGCGACTAGTTATAAAAATCTGTTTGTTCAGCCTTGCCACAAGTTCTCTACACAGGGAACTTATCTAATCCACCTAGTCCAGTATCACGTGTCTGACACCGGCCAATGCTGGCTGCTTCAGAGTGTGTAAAATTCCCCAAATACAACTAGTGCATGAGATGAAAGTACAGCTGATAGCAATTGGAATTTTATCCTGGCTCATCTGCAGGTGCTATTTGCTATTTTTATTCACGTAGTGATGGTTTCTTTAAAAAACAAACAACAACAAAAATACAATAAAACTATCATGTCATTTGTCTTAATATTCTGCAACAAGGAGTTTCATGGGTTAGTCACAGTATGGAAATTTGTTTCCATATCATCTGGAGCCTTTTTATTCTGGTATTATGGGAGAGTATATGTACCTTTGCTTTATCACACCTCCGCTAACTCCTTGTAAAAGAGTCCTAATCCTCTTAGCCTGGTAAACTCTTCACACTACCTGCCTCTCCTTTCCTCTTCCCCAGCCATCCCTGCCTTACGTCCACTCGATTTAATTCTTTCTTTCCAAAGTTTTTCCAGTTCTCCTATTAGAGAGGAGGACCAAAACTAAACACAGCATTCCAAGTGAGTTAAGCTATCTAAAGGCATAACATTTTCCATTCTCCTCTTAATGCACCCTAATGACTTCTTCACGGCCATAATGATGCCTGAATAGTTTTCCTGAAAGGTCACAGCTAGTTCAGGATCCACCTGTCTCTCTAAGGGTACGTCTATACTTACCTCCGGGTCCGGCGGTAAGCAATC